CGTTTGAATAGTTCTTTTTTTCAGGGTGGAATGATTGTGCAGCATACATCTTTAAGAGAAACTACCAGCTGTAGTCAATTATGATCACTAAGGAGAAGTTAATTGGACTTGGCCTTCAAGGTTAAAGACATTACAGAACCTTCGGCACCACTTAGCTATAAAGCATGTCTACTTGTTCCATCCTTGAAAAAGAACAGTTCAAAGAAAAAATTAAATGCCCCAAATCATCATGACATTCACGTACACGAGTGTATGTAAACTTGTGACCACAAATGTATTATCTCACACTGACTCTGGTTTACTTACAGGGATTACAAACCCAGCGGATTTTGAGGAGGAAGCGATCCATGATCCCAACGGGGAGACTTTAACCTTGGAAGCCAAAATGCAGCCTCTCCTGCTTGACTCCATGACAAAAAGCAAAGATGGTTTCCTTGGAGTAAGACAATACCAAACTCTGCGTGCTTCCTTTATGCTGCTGGTTTATTGTTCTCTTTCTCATCGCTGCTCTACAGCGTCTGCAGAGGACTGCTTTAATCAAAATCACAGCACAGAAAATCCCAGAAAGGGCTAAATTATAGCATGTTGATGCAGTTATTGTTGATAAATGTGCTTGTACATTGTCTGACTGTCTTACTCAGCTCTTTGTGAATGCAGCTCATTCAAAAGGTGCAAGCAGCCTTGAATTGAATCCAGAATGAAACTGCTGAGAATTTGTAATGCTTGTGCTTTCCAAAATTACCTTCCTCCATCTCTTTCAGGTTTCTCACAGCTCTCTGAGCGGGCTGCGGTCTTGGAAGAGCCCAGTAGTGCCTTCTTCGTCCTTCTCTGCTAGCCAGTTTAGGGTGTTCTTGCCCCCGAAGAACAAGATAGAAGTCGGTGACACGTGGTGGGTGATCCCCAGCGAGCTCAACATTTTCACTGGATACCTGCCCAATAACCGTTATCACCCTCCCACACCGAGGGGCAGAGAGGTAGCCTAAAAATCCATCTCTGTTTGGCCTATGGTTAGATTGTAACATGCGATTATTGCACTGTATAGTGGCTTATGGTTCTTTGGCTCTTGGTGCAGGTACTCATCCACTCCTTGTTGAGCATGTTCCACCCTCGGCCCTTCATCAAAACCCGCTTTGCTCCGCAGGGCGCAGTCGCCTGCATCCGAGCCAGCAACGACTTCTATTATGACATTATCTTCAGGTGAGGAGGGAGTAAGGAGGATGGCGGTGTTTTTTAATACGTTTGAACTATTAAACTGCAAAATATGTGTATTATGCATTAGTGCTGATTGATGTCTAAAGCACACAGTGAATTTTAAATTTATTACGAGTCACTGTGTTCACTTTATTATTCTGTCAAAGGTTTTACAGGAATTCTGTGTGGATGAATTCCACTTTTAGTTAGTAAGGAAGCAAAAGATTGAATTATTTGTTTTTATGCTCATTCATGACTTTTTAGTTTCCAGCTTTAGTTCCATATGACAGTCACAAACCATAGACAGAGTGAGCCTGGTTCTCCCCCCCCCCTGCTATCGCCAAGTGCTTTGTCACAGGGAGTGGGCTGATTGTTGGGGTTTCGGGGGAGTAACATATTTATATATATTTAATATTTCTTGTAGGGATTTCTGACAGAGACTTACGTGCTCTCAATTTTTACTCCTTCTGTTCACCCCCTGCAGGATTCATGCAGAATTCCAGCTCAATGATATTCCAGATTTTCCCTTCTGGTTCACACCAGGCCAGTTCACTGGCAATATTGTCCTTTCTAAAGACGCCTCTCACGTCCGCCTCTTCCACCTTTATGTCCCCAATAACAGGTAAATCCCTCTCACACGTGTTCATATACTCCCCTATCGATGGATCGTTGTGAAGTTTGGGTGCCACCTGTGCTATGTTACAGGTCTCTGAATGTAGACATGGAGTGGCTCTATGGAGCCAGTGAGAGCAGCAATATGGAGGTGGACATTGGTTACCTGCCACAGGTATGGCTGTTTATCTCAACACTAACTGTTCTCATCACTGTGTAGCTGCATCAGTATTGTTTCTGGCTGACTGTCCTTAGTCTTTAAGTTAAGTCACATCTATTTGATTTCCAGTCAATCAAACAGTATTAATGTCACGGTAACTGCCTGTTTTGACTTTAATTTAAAATACATATGGATTAAATACTTATGAACGTGTGGAATTTCACAGAATGTAAAAGATGATCCTCAGAAAAGACACACAAGAGTGTCTGATGTAAAGCGTGTGCACTATGTCTAACGAGAACTTGCGTTTGCAGTTAGAGCTCCAGTCGGCGGGCCCGTCCACTCCCTCCGTCATCACTGACGAGCAGGGTAATATTATTGATCGGCGTGACAGCAGCAATGAGCCCATCCAGTTTGTCTTTGAGGAAATCCACTGGACCTCTGAGATCAGTCAGGAGGAAGCTGCTCGCCGCATGGAGGTCACCTTCTATCCCTTTAAGAAGGTAATTCTCCACGTTCGAATAAGTTGGTGATTGTGTTATTGCACACAGTGTCGGTGTAACACTGTGCTCCTTCCCAGGTGTCCTACCTGCCTTTTTCAGAGGCTTTCGATCGAGCCCAAGCAGAGAAAAAGCTGGTGCACTCTATTCTGCTGTGGGGAGCTTTAGATGACCAGTCATGCTGAGGTGAGATAATGTCATGCTTCAAAAGTGCATCACAGTCATTAAATTTAAGCTGCTAGCTTTCTAAAGGCATACCATTACCAATTAAATATTACTGTAAAGTGCACTTAAGCCCATTTTCTGAAATGGCAGGTAAATACAGGTGTTACTAATGATGTACTAATTATGTTAATTAAGGATCTGTGACAGTTACTCATGTCATTATTAATACCTGTGCTGGTTAATTATAATTCATTCAGTCTGCCAACCATTACACCTATTTGGAGTTCTACCTTGTTCCTAATATGTTCACCGTATCCTTGTCTCCTCCCCACGCTTTTATAGGTTCGGGGCGAACTCTCCGGGAGACAGTCCTGGAAAGTTCGCCCGTCCTCGCCCTCCTCAACCAGAGCTTTATAAGCAGCTGGTCTCTGGTCAAAGAGCTGGAGAACCTGCAGGTAAGCAGCTATAGTGGTGAAAAATCCAGAACGTTGTTCAATTACTGAAAAATGTGCTTATCTTCTTACTTTAAGTACAGCTGTGTTTCCACTTAATAAATATCCTGCTTCCTGTTTTCCCAGGCTGATGAGCAAAACCCTGCGTTGAGTGAAAAGGCTCGCTTACACCTTGAAAAGTACAGTTTTCCTGTGGAGATGATGGTGGCTCTGCCCAATGGAACCATTGTAAATATTATTTTTCATAGAATTAAATCATAGGCAAAAGCACACTATTGGGAATATTAGGATAATAAATGTTGGCTATCTGCATTCTCCATGTTGCATTAGCAGTGAAACGACACAGTCAACTGTGAGGCTGATGGCAATGAAATAATAAAAATGAAATACGGTAACATTAGCTTATGTGGATGCATCATATCCCTGTAAGTGCCCACACACACTAGCCGAGCATAATAAAACTGGCAGAGATATGGAAGACTCTGCCAAAAATGTACTACATAGAAAGTTATTTACAGTTTTATTAGCAGCTATTGCAGAAAGTCTTATTTTGAAAATGCCATATTAACCCTGACTTGACCAAGTATAGATGCGAAGAAGAAAGAAGCCGCTAAAGCCTTTTATCCTCTTTTATGTGGTTTCAGGTTCATCACATCAATGCCAACTTCTTCTTAGATCAAACTGCCATGAAACCCGAGGAGGAAGAAGCAACTTTCAGCTTCTCTGGCGGCTTCGAAGATCCCTCCACATCCACTTATATCAGCTTTCTGAAAGAGGGCTTGGAGAAAGCCAAGGAGTACCTGGCACAGTAATGTGTTTGAGCTTAACCAGACTGGGCAAATGATCCAAGATTAGGAAAACCTACCAAGCATCTGGTGGCGTTCCTCTTCTGTGTGTGTTGGCAGCTGGAAACATTTTTGCCTTCTGTACTCTTTGCTACTATTTATTTGGACGACTCTCTCGGTTAAAAAAAAAAAAAAAGTTTTATATAGTATTTGTATTGTGACAAGTAGAAATCCAAAGGCCTTCCACGCTGAGCAGGAACAAATGCAGTATGTCACACATTTAGACTTGCTCTTTATCCTTGTAGCTGCTGAATAACTTAGCTATAAGATATAGATGGAGGCCTACCAAGTCCCAGATTAGCGTCAGTACCATTCTTTAGTGCATTACATTCAGTATTGTATTCAGTATTTCTTCTTTCATGTGGTGGTGTTGCATGTGCAGTATTTATTGACTAACTGAGCTTCTCTGCTGAGTGTACCCAGAGACGGAGCTGCTGTTGTTGTTTCCTCCAGCTGTGTTTCTGCAGTTAGTGAAGGCTTTGCCTGAAAGCTCTCCCCGAGCTGGGTAACGCCTGATGTTCTTGTTGAGGCTGCTGGAGGGAAACACCCTTCTCTGACTCGGGACAAAGGCATGAAGAGGAACTTAGAAACTGGACTGGAGAACGTAAAATGAATGAATCAGACGTTTTCCCATATAGCTTGTGTTTAAAACCAAATGTTACAATCTATTCACAGAACGATATGACCACACCAAAGAACTTCTCTTTTACTGTGTAAGCAGATGAATTTGTTAGGCTGCTTTCCTATTATGGCTCATATCTGTGTAAATCAGGGTGAAAAACAGTTGGATTGTTTCTTTAGTGAGGAGCAAATAATTTCTCTGTCTCTCTTCCCATCGTATAAACAGAACAGTTGGCATCTTCAAGTCCTGATTTCAGAACAGAAGAGCCCAATGATCTCACACACACACACACACCCATGTGAAATATCTTGCTGCTTGGAGCCTTTAGAGAGAAAACTCCCCCAATATTCTTCTGTAACTAGCAGTGCCGTTTGATTTTCACTTGTATAACAAAAACATTTTTTTTAAACAAAAAGAATTGAGTTTTCTTTTTCTCACGCACACGCACACACGTTTAAATTCACATTGTGCTGATTTTTATTAACGCATCTACAGTACTGTAGAGTGTAGTTAGAGTAGATTGGTCTATCAGAGTAAAATACAGCCGAATGACATAATTACATGAATCTGAAGTATTGATTTTTGCACGTTCAGAAACTACAGTGGTGAATAGTGACAAATGAGGCTGTTAAAGTCAGAAGTACAGATGATCTTCTATTCAGAAGGCTTTCTAAAAGCGGAGCTCCAAGTGTTCGGCGTTCATTTTAGCCGTCTGCGTCACCGATGAACGAAAAGCCATTAAAGTGATGATTAGTGGTTAAGGAAGGGAAGTGTTTGCGAGAGTTTGGGCTGTACACATGCAGTTCAGAAAGCATTGAAGTGGGGACATGCTTTAACTATGAAGGGAGACGTTTACACAATAAATAATGGGATATTGTGATGTTACCGATTTATATTAACAGCAAAGTGCAGTCTGAGATTTGTAACTCACTCCATTTGTAACGTAGTCCATCCAAAAATTAGGATTCAAAGAATCCAGTTCAGCTCTACAGTTCACTGTAGCACAACTTAGTTTGTCTGCCAAACCCACAGGAATGAGTCAGCCACTAAGCAGTCCACCCTCAGAGCCCACTCTGACAGTAGGCTGTTACGGATCAGCTTTATTTCAGTTCACTTTGTTAAAATCCACAGCACTTAATCACATGGATTAATCCAGAAGTTTAAGGTTGATTGTTTTCGTTTATGGATGTTACCATGAAATGAAGGAGCTGCTGCATGTTTCCGCTCAGTGATAATTCTGTCTCGATTAAAGCCGATCAGCAGCGACGACGTGAAACAAGCTGAAACGTCGTCCAATCTCCTCAGCTGAATTTCCACACTTCTAGCTCCATGACTCGGAAGTCATCGGTTTCTGAAAGGCAGCAGTTATTAAAAGTGTAGCAGGGACTGCTACGGCCCAGGTATAGGTTCTCATCCACCCACAGACCGAAGTGACCACTGTGGAAAAAGAGGGAGACGGTGGTTAGCGAAAGGAAACCGACCCTTCTTGGCTTGGTTTGAAAATTAGAGCAATATTATTTTTTTGTAAGCCGCAGAAGTATAAATTATGGAAAAGTGGAAGTCGAGAAAGCTACTTAATTACCTGCCTCCACCAATAGCAAAGCAATCCAAGTCTCCCTTAATAAAAAAGGAATTCTCTCCAGTCCACTTGAAACACTGCAGAGAGACATCAGAAAATCATGTCACATTTATAACACACGGAGTGTCTCTGTTTTACCTCCATCAATTCATTTTCCCAGGAAGCATCATTCATCACAACTCAGATCCATTCCTTCAGTCATACCATCCTGTTATTTTGCATTTTAAACGGTTTAGAATATATTTTCTACACTTAAGAAAAAAAAATCTGGATTGGTTACCTTGAAGCGAGGATGCAACATGAAGAGAAACGTTTCTCCTGTACCGTAAAACATCTCACTAGGCCTCAAAGGGTGAGAGAGGAAGGCCCCAAATATCTGATTAGAAAAAGTCATAAGAGAAAATTAAAAAACTAAAGACTAAAGATATATATTGTTTATTTGAGATAGAATAGTTCCTTTTTACCAATCGATATGTTGGTAAATCACTAGTATCGGCCAATATTTGCAGATATATTGGTATTTTCAATTCAATTTTATTTAAACAGTGCCAAATCACAACAACACGGAAGACCGTACAATAATACATACATATATATTCATTTATAGCAGCTGATGAATGATAAATTAAAAGACGAGTAAAGACGAGAAGGGAGAAACACCGTTCAACCATATTATACGCGTTAATGTTTCAGAGTTGGGCATCCTGCAACCTTCGTACTGTAAATGTGTGTTTGGAACACCACAAACATGACAACCAGAATAACCAGCTGATCTGAGAGTTCGGCAGAGCGTGAAAAAGTAATTCAATTCAACAGTCACCTCAAGGCCTTTTATATTGTAAGGTAAAGACAGTACAATAATACAGAGCCAAGCCCGACAATCAAATATCCCCCATTAGCAAGCACTTGGTGACAGTAGGAAGGAAAAACTCCCTTTTAACAGGAAGAAACCTTCGGCAGAACTAGGCTCAGGGAGGGGCGGGGCTATCTGCCATGACTGGTTGGGGGTGAAAGAAGGAAGATAGGACTGTGGAAGAGAGCGAGCGATTAATAATAACTAAAGATTAAATACAGAGAGGTGTATAAACACATAGTGAGTGAAAAAGGTGAGTGAAGAAGAAACAGTGCTTCATGGGAAGCTCTCAGCAGTAATCTATGACTTGTGGCAATAAAGCAAGCACAATCATATTATATTAACAAGTACTTATAAATACTACACATAACAAACATTAGGGAAATCTGCTGATAGTCTATTGATTTATCAGATTTTAAAATCACCAAATATCGGTCATGGAAATCCTAGACTGGTCTGGCTCTAGAGCTGACAGTACATTTTTACCTCATCGAGCGCATCCTTGATGACAATAATAACAGGCGAGTCCGTGCCGCTGAGTTTTCTGTAAAGAGACTTGAGGCTGGCGCCGTGACGCGACGTGCTGTAAGCCAGCTGCCATGTGTAGCCAACAGTCCTGGGAGGAAGCTCCTTACACAGCTGGAAACAGATGAAAGGCGGGAAGTAAAATAAATGAAATGAACATTAGAAAGGGTGACATAGCAATTAAATACTGGAGATACCATCTGTGTGTGTTTTCTAGAAAATGTTAGGAAACTGGCATTTATTCATTTCTGACTAATGAACTACCTGTAATAATAATAATAATAACAGGCATTGAAAAAGTAATGGTATCTCTTCCGTGTCAACCCCACAAGTTTTATTCTGCTCATGTGAATGTAGCGTTTTCAGTGTGAGAATCATCCCAGTCACTCCTTCAGCATCTGCTGACTACAGGTCATTATGCACATGAACAGAAACGTCTTTCTGGGAATTCCTTAACTGCATGATTGAGCTTGCATCAAGACATTTCTTGTCAACCTTTAATTAAGCAGAAACACCACAGAATGAGTGCCACTACTCTAAGACATCTATATAAGAGCAGTGTGTGAGCCAACTCAGCTTTCTTTAAATAGTCTCCTGAAGATACTTGGCCATAAAACACTAAGCAGTAAATCTAACTGTATTATACTGTCGCTTATGAGGTCAAACAGTTCTTTTCTTACATCATTTTAAATAAGATTAGCTATTCCTCTTTCAAAGTAAGAAAACAAAAACCCACTTTACATTTATCTTATAATCTGATGAAACCCTTTAAAACTTGGGAGGCTAAAATGATTTTCAAATGCATATTTAGTTTCATCAATACATACTTATATTTACTTAAAAAGTCTCAAAAAGGCAAGAAAGGACAGTAATTTCTGTTGTATAAAGACAAGCTGTTGTTTATCATAAGCCCGGTTTTAATTTCTTTATGTCTTAAAGAACCTTTAACTTCTTGTGTCCCCTTGAATTCTGAAGCTAAACCTAGATGCTCTTACATCATCAGATGATTAAAACTCACATATAAACGCTTGTTTGGTCTCACCAACCTCTCTGACGTGTGAAGCCTCCAAAATCTGGCTGTTCTCAACAATATTACTGAGTCCTTCGGGGTCTCTATCAACGACCAAGAGCGGCTTGTCTCTACTCTCCTCCATCAACACCATCTGCAAAAAGACACTTGTACATTTGAAAAAAGCTGTTTTTCTTCTAGAATATTCTAATAAAAACACGTTTTTCTTCATCAGGAAACAAATGTTTTAACCTGCAGTGCAGGTCACAAACTTACAAACGTTATTCTCCATTATCGGCATAAAAGTCCGACTGACCTCATCTCTCATCGTCTGCTATCCTGTGAGACCCAAACAATAATAATCCACTCACTTCCCAATCGTCCCCTGAGTGTCTCTGAAGCAGCTTGTCCTCATCCTCCTCTTCCTCCTCCTCCTCCTCGTCTTCAATGAGTACGAATTCCTCATCATCACGGTCTCCCTCCCCGTCCTCCTTTCCTCCCTCAAGCATACACAAGTCTGGTCGGCAGTGTTTTAAGTAGGCGTACAGCTCGTCGGAGCTACAGCAGGGAGGAGAAGGCACTCGCTCAGAAATGTTGAATCGACAAACAACACGACAGCTGCACCAACACAGTGAGAGCGTGGCACCCGGGTGTGGTTTTCTGCTCAGCTGCAGGCGGAGAGGTGGGGGAACGCTGGTTCAGCTCGTTTATGTGGCTTTCAATTATCCTTTTACTGCCGCAGATTTTCTGGTTGCATTGTTTTCCTGAGATTCAGCTTTCTCAGAACGGAGTCAGTGCTTCGGTGAGGATCGCTCAGTTAAAGAGTCACTGTTTGGACTGCATGGATGTTACATTTGAATAGCCGTGTGAGAAGTATTCACAATCATTTACTTGAAAGTAGTGATGCCAGAGCATGTAAGAAAATCAGAAAGAAAAACAGCAGTAGGGTCGAATTTAGTGTTGTTACATTGTTTCTATTATTACTGCATCACTATTACTGATGCTGGCTTACGCACAGCTAATTGGAACTACTTCATACTATAGATGAGAAGGATAAATGTAGCTGTGAAACAAAAACACTAGAATTTATGAAATGTTATAGAGTAGAAATCTAGAGTTGACTAAAACCATTACACAGATTCAGGTACTGGCACCGAGTCTGACCAACATCGTTTTATTATTGGATGCCACAGTGGCCCTTATTATGCACACACAAGCTGACAGACTGACTCTATTTTTCTGAAGACAAAGTAATGTTTATGTGTCCATTGTTCGCTGAGTGGCAAAAGATAAGCGTGCCAAGTAAGCATTTAACGAAGTGACCCATGTTAGCACGAGTACAGTGCTGGAAAAAAGCACTTTTGTCACACTTACATGTTTCATTTCATCAAACAAATTTAAATATTAGGGGTTCTTCTGACCTCCTAAATAAGCCTCAAATGCACTCTCTGAGTAAATTTGGTATGCTGGCCCCTCCTGGGAAAGTTCACCGCTGTTCCAAGATTTCTCAGTCTGTCCATAATGATTCTTGCTGGAGTCCCAATGCCTTGAAAAAGACCCTTTGCAGAGTAATAAATCTCAATGACTTGGTGTTTTTAGATTGCCCCATAATATGATGCTTTTGAGGTCTATTAGCCCACTTCAACTTTGCCACACAGGTTCTATTTAAGTGATTTCTTTATTCAACAGGTCTAGTAGCAATGAACAAGTGGAGGGCTTTACTTTTCACACAGGGTGTTCACAGCACTGTAGATGGATGACAACATAGCCAGTTAAAATAGTTGGCATGTCCTCTCTAGCTCAGAAGATTTTATATTATGTTAATAAAAGTTGATCAGTGCTTTATCGGTATCTGGAAATATGACGTTGATACCTGAAATTGATGGACAAGACTGTGGGAGCCGGAGAATTTGCTAAAGCAGAAAGACGAGGACTTGTGTAACAGAATGACGACAGGGTGGAATATTTAAATACTTTAGTTCTCTGGCTGAATGTGCTCCTCTGAGTAACCTGGATTATAGAGCACAGCGGCGTGGGCTCGAGATTTAACCAAGAGCTTTCATTATAAAGTGCAGTTGTAAAGGTTAGGAGTCTTTAAAAAACTCTCCTGATTTGCATGACAAGAAATGCAGTGATTATTTTAAGTCTGATGGAGTTTTTATTTAAATCTTTGATACTTTTCTTAGAAGTGCTTTGGTTACCTTTCCTGTGACAGTGCAAGCCAGGTATCCCTTTTAGGTAAGGCTTTGGCTGGTCCGAGGTGAAGACCTCCGACACCCTTTTTCTTTCCTGCCGATGGCTGAACCCGCAGCCTCACAAACATCAGACCCCCAGGACTGCTCGCTGATGACCTCTTAGGTGCTGTGAAGGAAACAAAGAGCAAAGATGGCCTCACGTCAAAGGAATAACACATCTAACACATCCGCCTGACAGACATAATTCACATTCAGACCTGCAGTTTGATTTTTTACAGAGGTCTTCTCCATTTCTTCAGATTGCAGTTGGTCCATGTTCACTTTGCTCGCCACCTCTTGACTTCCACAGCAGAAGGTGGCAGCACTGCTCAGGACACCCAGGCTGCCGACCGATGCTTCAGTCAGCACCTCCAGAGGGCTGCTATCCAGCTCCTGTTCAACTTCAGCCATGTCCTTGCTCTCTGCCTCCTCATCTTCAGAAACCTCCTTGGTCGGGCTCAGAGCCAGTCTGGATAAATCAGCTGGAGCAGCAGACACCAGAGGTGGGCACGACTCCCCCTTGTGATTCAACTGACCTTGTTTTTTGGCCATTTTCAGCTTCTGGAAAAGTTTTTTCCCTCTTCTCCTGAAAAAAGTGAAAAAAAGTGGTTATACTGGCATTTCATGTAATCCGATATCCACGTGCTTAACTATGCATCCCTGCTGACCTCTGCTGAGAGGTGTTGAAGTGAACATGTGAGATATCAGAGAAGAAGGAGACAGATGCCAGATTGTCAACAGAGTATGACAGAAGGTACTCCTCGCAGCCATGCTCCTTCACCAGAGGATGTGTCTTACACGGATCAAAGAAGATTTTATTAGAAGTCACCAGCAGGATGCCTGAAACACAACCCTGACAAAGAGAGACAGAAAATGCTAACGTTAACTTACAAACGTCCAAAAAAACCCAAAAAAAGCCAACCTTCTCAACCTGTTCTTCAGACTCACCTTACGATCAGTGATGTAGCGGCAGATCAGTTTGAGATATGGCATGGGCTCTGGTCCCTCCCCCTCACAGCACTCTGGTGGCAGAGCCAATAAGCAGAGCTGCCCATCAGGCATCGGTACTGCCTCCACATCCTGTCGGGATCGCAGGTAACAACAAAATACAGCGTTTAATAGAGAGTAAAAGGACTTTTAGTCAACAAGCTTTTTGGCTTTAGTCAATGTAAATGTTTGACCTGTTTCTGTTTTTAAGGTCTTAAACTGAAGATAACATCAAAAGCATTTTATATCTGTATCAGTGCATCATTTGTCAGATGTTGCTGTTTGTTCACTGCCCACATCACTTTTCCAGCCTGTTCTCAGAGCTGTGATGTTTTTGCTGCTCGTTTCCACAGTAACAGTCATTTGATTCATTTTACAGCCTTCTGGCCTTATGTTTTTCTCACCACGGCTAATAACCGTTTATTAGCCCCATAATGAAATCTTCTTGTTTTTTTCATTACAATCATAATCTTCTTCAGCTTCTTTATTATTAATCCATCGTTTTTCACGTTGACTTGGCTGTGGATCACCTTGTCATATTCAGCTTTAGTCAGGTCTTAAGCAAAAGCACCAATATCTGAGTTTATAAATATTTTTATTAATAACAGATCTGCAATAAAAATCTGACTCTCAAAAAAAAAGCTCAAAAGGTTAGCACGAAAATGCACCCTGGGTATCAAAATGTCACTTGGAAATGTCAAAATATTAAATATGAGTGAATATTTTCATGCATATAAATATAAAAAGGATGGGCATCACATTAATTAATTAATGCCATGAACAAACATATCTAACACATACTTTGGGTGCTGAGGATATTTACAATGTTTATTTTTTGGTGATTCGGTTTTTATTTAGATTTTTTTCACGTGTTTTTTATATATTGAAGTACAATTTTAAGCATTTCACAAGTTTTAAATTCTTATATTGCCAAATAAAACTAATTTATGAGAGACTCAGTATTTAAAATGTTGAACCTTCTTCTTATTAACTTCTGTAATTCTCTGTGGCACGCAGAATATCAGCTTCTGGGTGAAAACCTGATTGATGGGGATCTATTTAAGCATTATCAGCTCCAAAATGCTAGAAAATGAACAGATTTAAACAGAATTGTCCCTGAATTGTTGGAAGAGAATGTTTTTTTTTCCCAGAATGGTGCCACAGAAAAAAAACATTTGGGTGTTTTGTTAAAATAAAACTCCGCAGGGAACGTTTCGACTTGGAGTTCAAGGGGTAATGTGATGTTATGACCAGACAATGATTAACCCTGAGATGATCCTGAGGACATTTTGTGCCATTCCATTTCGTTATTTTCATGCTATTTTGGCTGTTCTGAATGAATATAGCTCATATCTGTCATTACTTTACAATATTATTTTCTGTAAATTTAAGAATTGTTGTCTCAGTTTCTTAAAATGGCTGAGCTATGCAAAAAAAACGCCACATTTTATCCAAAGGACAACTATATTTTTAAAAGACTGAGTCATTTAAAGTGGAAAACAATATTACTATATAATATTTTTACAGCAGTTTTGGGGAAGATGGCGTTTTCTGTCCTTAGAGTAGAGAGAGTCAGGATTTTTAAGGATCCTCTAAGGGTTAAATACAAATTACATCAAGAGAAGCTGTTATGGTTCAAAACAGCCACTTATTTTTTTGTAAGCATTTACTGCATTTCCCTCTGCAGCTACCCTGGCCAAATGTTTACACAATACAACATGTTCTGCTGCAGGGGACAGTTAAATGCCTCACAAACCAACCAAATAAATTATACGTCATACAGAGTCCCATATTATGGTGCCATGATACTATCCCTGATTCAAACACTGATGCATCAGTTTTAAATAGAAAATGTTTATGAGCCCACTCATTTATTATGGCTTTGTAACCTGATAACAGGCAGAACTGGAAACTGAAGTGGATTCCAAAGTCTAGACCCAGACACATGTTACTGAACGATGCTACAAAGTCTTTATTATAATCTTATATACAAAGTAACTATGATCTCCAGCTATGAAAATATCAAATAGCAAAGTATATCTGTATAAACCATAAAGAAGCATAAAAGTGGGCTTTTTTTTACCACTTACTTTCACTTCAGTCACATTTTTTAAAAACAACAAAACTGCAAAATCAGTACTCTCGGGATTGCACCACATGCTATTATTATCAGTTGTATTTCTGCTTACCAGTAGTTTGTCGTATTCTGCTTCTGGTGATGGGGACTGAGGCTGAGCAGCGAGTGGATTCAAAGGGTCTTGATCTACTTCCGCTTCTGGTCTCTCCTTAGTATCGGAATCCAGTTCTGGATGCGACGATCCTTCTCCAGGAGAAGTGTTTTTTCCTTTTGGGACGACCAGCTGCTTAAGAGAAAATGCCATTGTAAGAATAGCTGTGACACTCACGTGGGCACACCGTGTAACACTGGAAGAGAACAGAGCAGTTCCTCATTCTACAGCCCCGCATTTTCCTACTTCTTTGTTTGTAGTGACATCTAGGCTCCATATAGGGCTCTGGATGCGAGGTTGAGCACTTTGTTTTACAGCCACAATATACCAATTTAAAGCATTAATGTGACAACACTTAAAGAAATTATGACTTTGAGCCTGTTCTTTCTCATAAACATAAGTTCTGGTTGGGTAGTGATGCATACATTGGTTTAAGGTGGAGCAAAAAAAACAAAACAAAACACTTTCACAGGCAGGCAAGAGGGAGGCACTGCTTTGCATTTCAAATCAGCTGCAGCAGATGTGTCATTCTGATGTGTGTACACGCTTAACAGGCGCACTAAATATGTGAGTCAAATGTCAGCAACTATCGTGTGCTTACAGTTGACACTTACCTCTCTGGCGATGAGGGTAGCAGACGAAGAGGACGGTTTAGTTCCTGTAAGGGTGGACTGGTGACCCATGTCGCTCTCCTCCGTTGAGGATGCATTACTGTTAAACTTAGATGAGACGCTGAACACACCATCCCGAGGGAGACCCTGTGTGGGGAGAAACACAAACACAAGAAAGTCTCCGTCAGTAAATTGAAATGTGATTACACAACACAAAGAGAGGTCATATTTTAATAATGAAAGATATAAATGGGCCTGTTTTGGATTTGCCTAGTACACTACCGGGACCAAATAAAATATATAATCGTTCTGCATGTTTTTTATTTGATTGTTTGTGTGCAGCAAAAGCCATTCGGTTCCTTATCAGAGAATTGGTTTAATATAAATACAGCCTCCTCAAATGCGCATGGGGACATCATTTGTTATGGAGCCCTCTGTGCGCTTCCAGTTTAAACAAGTTCAAACATCAGTGAATCGGATTGAATTTCCAATAAACCTGTGGACTCTCTCTCTCTCACACACACACACACACACACACACACACACACACACACACACACACACACACACACACACA